AGCGCTGGGCGGGGAGCTCTCCTCCTCCGATCCTCCTCTGTTCCTCCCATTCGGCTGAATGCGCACGCGCGGCAAGAGCTGCGCGCGCATTCAGCCGGTCTCATAGTAAAGCATTTACAATGCTTTCCTATGGACGCTTGCGGGCTCTCACTGTGATTTTTCACAGTGAGAATCACGCAAGCACCTCTAGCGGCTGTCAATGAGACAGCCGCTAGAGGAATTGGAGGAAGGATTAACCCATTTATAAACATAGCAGTTTCTCTGAAACTGCTATGTTTATTAAAAAAATAGGTTAATCCTAGCTGGACCTGGCACCCAGACCACTTCATTAAGCTGAAGTGGTCTGGGTGCTTAGAGTGGTCCTTTAAGTCACTTGTACTGCACATTTCTGTTTCAGATTTACCTCATTTTTTCCTTTTTGTTTCTGTTTTTACCCCTATTTACATTTTTATTTTATCCTTTTTGTACATTTTTTCTATTTCTCCATTTTTACTCCTACTTCTGTATGTTGTATAGATTATTTTCACTTTTATACTTATCTTTTTCATTTTTTTCGACTCTTAAAAAAATTTTTTTTTGTTTATTCTAAATTAATTTATTTTCTACTATCTCACATTTTTTCAACTACCATATTCATATTGTTCTTATTCTGATATCTAGTTTTCTCTTAAAGGTACAGCATCCCTATTAGTATACCTTCTTTTATAGATATTTTAGTTTCTTATAGCCACATTCTAGGCTAGCTCCATATATATATATTTCCAAATTATTATGCAAATTCTATTTAAGTGTCACAAAGATTAAATATTTTGTTTTTCAGTTTAACTCATGAATGGCATTGTGTCTCAGGGCACTTTTGATCACTGAAAACAATCTCGCACACCTGTGATAATTAGATTGCCAGGTGAGCCCAATTTAAGGAAAAACTACTAAAGGAGGGTGTTCCACATTATTAAGCAGAGCACCATTTTCATGCAATATGGGGAAGAAAAAGGATCTTTCTGCTTCCGAAAAGAGTGAAATAGTTCAATGCCTTGGACGAGGTATGAAAACATTAGATATTTCACGAAAACTTAAGCGTGATCATCGCACTATTAAGGGATTTGTGGCTGATTCAGAGCACAGACGGGTTCGTGCAGATAAAGGCACATTTAGGAAGATTTCTGCCAGATCCATGCATCGGATCAAGAGAGCAGCTGCTAAAATACCATTACATAGCAGCAAACAGATATTTGAAGCTGCTGGTGCCTCTGGAGTCCCACGGACATCAAGGTGTAGAGTCCTCCAGAGTCTTGCAACTGTGCATAAACTTTCCATTCGGCCACCACTAACCAATGCTCACGAGCAGAAATGGCTGCATTGGGCAGAAAAATACATGAAGACTAATTTTCAAACAGTCCTGTTCACTGATGAGTGCCGTGCAATCCTGGATGGTCCAGATGGATGGAGTAGTGGATGGCTGGTAGACGGCCACCCTGTTCCAACAAGGCTGCAACATCAGCAAGGCGGTGGTGGAGTCATGCCAGAATCATGGGAAGAGAGCTGGTCGGCCCCTTTAGGGTCCCCGAAGGTGTAAAGATGACCTCTGCAAAGTATGTGGAGTTTCTGACTGACCACTTTCTTCCCTGGTACAGAAGGAAAAACTAGACTTTCCGTAATAAAATCATCTTCATGCATGACAGTGCACCATCTCATGCTGCAAAGAATACCTCTGCATCAATGGCTGCTATGGGGATAGAAGGAAAGAAAGTCATGGTGTGGCATCCATCCTCCCCTGACCTCAATCCTATTGAGAACCTTTGGAGCATCCTCAAGGAAAAGATCTATGAGGGTGGGAGGCAGTTTACATTCAAACAGCAGCTCTGGGAGACTATTCTGACATCTTGCAAACAAATTGAAGCAGAAACTGTCCAAAAACTCACAAGTTCAATGGATGCAAGACTTGTGAAGCTGCTATCAAATAAGGGGTCCTATGTTAAAATGTAACGTGACCTGTTAAAATGTTTAAAAAGTTAAAATGTTGTTATAAGTTTGATTAAAATAGCTTTTGATTTCAGTAAATATGCTGCAAACACAACAAATGACAATTTTCAGTTCTTTACAACCTATAAAGTGTTTTGAAACTTACTGTGCGTAATAATTTGGAACAGTGCATTGTACGTTTTTTTATGTTTAAAAAAAAAAAAAATACTGTTATCATTAGGTTTGTTCAATAAAATTTGAATTGTACTCTTAATAGTTGATAACATGCGAATTATGCTGACTGTTATGTACATCAATTATTTAGGTAAATGAGAAAAATATAATTTGCATAATAATTTGGAACAGGGTGTGTATATATGTGTGTGTGTGTGTGTGTATATATATATATATATATATATATATATATATATATATATTACTATTAATCGACCAAAAATGTAGTATGAATTTGCAACTTGTGACTACAAAGGTTTATGAAATAGAGAAGAAATTAAGGATATTTTAAAAAGATCAAATGAAGTAGCATGTTAAAGCAACACTCCAAGCACCATAACCATTATGGCCATAGTAAAATAGTTACTGTTTAAGAACTGTTTGACTGTTCGGGACATCACTATCAGGAATACATGTTTGTGTTCCTGACCCTATAGTGATCTTTTAAGTCTACAAGCTCCACAGAGCTACATCCTGCTGTGCTGGGACATGCTCATTGGCCAAGAGCTCTCAGCCAAAAGGTGTAGCCCTGCACAGTTTAGTAAGCTGGAGCTTCTAGCAGCAGCGGACACCCAACAGGTGTCCGCTGCTGCTAGAAGCTCCAGCTTACTAAACTGTGCAGGGCTACACCTTTTGGCTGAGAGCTCTTGGCCAATGAGCATGTCCCAGCACAGCAGGATGTAGCTCTGTGGAGCTTGTAGACTTAAAAGATCACTATAGGGTCAGGAACACAAACATGTATTCCTGATAGTGATGTCCCGAACGGTTCGCCACGAATGGTTCGCCACGGACTCATCATTGAGTAAATTTTGACCCTGTACCTCACAGTCAGCAGACACATTCCAGCCAATCAGCAGCAGACCCTCCCTCCCAGACCCTCCCACTTCCTGGACAGCATCCATTTTACATTCATTGTGAAGCTGCATTCTTAGTGAGCTGTCCAGGAGGTGGGAGGGTCTGGGAGGGAGGGTCTTCTGCTGATTGGCTGGAATGTGTCTGCTGACTGTGAGGTACAGGGTCAAAGATTACTCAATGATGAGTCCGCGGCGAACCGTTCGGAACATCACTAATTCCTGACCAAAAAAACGGGGCGCAAGAGAATACTGAGAACAGGCAGCAGCTGAAATAGCCTGCCCTTCGGTGGGTCCCCACTCAGTTCTCAAGCTGGGTTTATCTCATCTTGTGCCATTACAGAGAGAACATCTCTGAAACATATCAGACTGGTCCCACCCATACGGGCAGTCCAGATCCAAAATGCCAGCATGTTCCCTCTGCACAAGAGAGACAGCAACCCCAGATGATAGTTTCAGCCTTGTTAGGCATCATCAGTAAGGCATAGCTGATATCTCTCTAGGCACCGTGAGCAAGGGGTCCACGTCTGGATTACCCTGACCCTATAGTGTTAACACCACCATCTAGCCCCCCTGGGCCCCTCATGCCTCCATAAATATAGTAAAAATCTTACAGTATTCAAGCCTGAAGCTGTAAATCTGCATGCTGTTAGACTCAGAAAAACAAGCATTCTGCTGACATGTGGTAGCCTGATCCAATCACAGTGCTTCCCCATAGGTTTGGCTGGGACTGACAAAGAGGCAGATCAGGGACAGAGCCAGCATGATTCAAACACAGCCCTGGCCAATCAGCATCTCCTCACAGAGATGAATTGAATCAATGAATCTCTATGGGGAAAGTTCAGTGTCTGCATGCAGTGGGAGGAGATACTGAATAACAGGATGCTGTGCACAGTGCTGCCCTCTGCCTACAGCAGATCTCAGTGCATGGAGGCATATCATGCCTCCATCAGCTCCGAAGTCCCTCTGGTTCACTCTGAGTGACTGCAACTGGAGGTGTTCCTAGCTTTCAATGTAAACACTGTATTTGTTTACATGAGAGAGGCTGCAGGGAGCTATAGTTCTCACCTGAACAACCTCATTAAGCTGAAGTTGTTCAGGTGACTATAGTGTCCCTTTAACTTGCAGGATCTTACAGCCAGGTCCGAGATAAATTGTCAAACGTTTTAAAAGATTTTACAACATACTCTATGAGCACGCCAGGGCACTCTTGATACCACGACAGCTACAATCTCTGCCTGAAGGAGTATTACATCAGAAAGATGTTTTAAATTAATTATTAGTTGACTATTAAACTATTTACATGCATTAGTCCATCTAAGTGACTGTTAATAGGGGCACACATTGATCCAAACTGGCATTCTCCTTATATTCATTAATAGGGACAATCTAGGGTGGATTTACAATTGTTTTTGCATTTGTGCATTCAGTAAAATAATGGATAAAATAAGAATTACTTATCTATTGATCAAACATGGCAGCATTTAATTATGTGTAAGGCCCCCACTCTGCACCGAATTGCCCAGCTTGCGGGAGGAACGTTACGTCTCCCGGCTCCTCCTCTACCCTCACTCTGCTACAGGCACACAGCAAGGCTGACACTTCGATAGCGCCGGTTTTGAATAACTCGGCAGGGGGAGATCCTTTGATATCCCCTGTTGGCCTATTGCCCAGTTTGGCCAGTCTGGGCCTGATGATGATTACTGGTTCTTTTATACCGCCTTGATTCCTACCTAGCATTATGTTAATACAGAATATTCCCTATATCTGAATAGCTTGGGGAAGGGGGGCATTTATACCAGTTTCAGAGTTCTATTTCCTGCCCTTTCTGCTGTGATTGGACGAGCTAACCCATGAGTAAATGCTGCCATGTATAACGATCAGGAAAAGAAAATTACGGTAAGTATAACATTAATCCCCGTATTTTCTTCAGAAGAAAGCCCTTGAAAGTTTTTTACGTGATATCATTCTTCTACTGGACAATCTACACGGACTGGCTGGGGTAAAGGGAGGATAAATGGTGCATTTATGCTGTTTATTGTGAATAAAATTGTGATGACTCTTTGCACAATGCTTTTTTGGGGCATTGTTCTGCATTCTAGCATTTTAATAACTACAAAAGGAGGGTAAAGAACACAAGGTTCTATGTCTCTGTGTATCCACCTGTATACACTCTCCCCAGGATGGAACGAAAAAAAGGGGGGAGAGAACAGCAGGTGCCCCACAGGGACTAGTGTACGGAAGCGAGATTCCAGGTATCTCAGAGGGGCTTAACCCCAAATAAGCAAACAAAACAAGGGGCCCCTGACGAAGGTGCATCTCTCTAGCACCGAGGGCATTTTTACTCATATCACTTGATATGAGCACTGGGCACTGGTGGATGTAGCACCATGATTTTGCACTATACCTAATCTATCTTTATTTCTGTTCTATGCCTGTCTAGCTAGATTAACAGGGAGAGAGGCTTTGTAATTTAACCTATACTACCAGTCTATCTTTTTGACTGGCTTTTTATCTATCAATTACCTCTATCCTTTCATCTATCCTTTATAGCTCGATTTGGAGCATACTTTATATAGATTTGTATACTAGACGATTCCTAGGATAGATAATTGTATGGGATTTACCCCCTCCCTTTCTTTTTACCCTCACCCTAATAGCATATTACAATAAAGCTGATAACTAGGGTGGAGTTATGATTTAGGTTATATTTTGATATCCCTATCAATTACATCCTGGTCTGGCATAGAATTTTTGTATCACCTGTATATACTTTATTTATTTATTTTTTATTTTTCATTATATCACCATAGGTCTCTCATTATGTTTTATAATTCATAAGCCAGGGCTTATAGTACACTATACCGTTATATATACTTCCAGGCCATGCAGCTGATCTCAAGCACATTCTGAGACAGACTGCATTTTGTAATTACTTTTTTGTTGTTTTGTTAATAACTACAGCCCCATTGTGTTTTTACTTCATCGTACTCATAACATCTCTTATACATTGCTATACTATATATATAAAGCACCTTCAAACCAGTGATGGATACATTATGTTATTGAAATGTTATTGCTCTTAAAATGTAATGTTGCTTCAGTATGCTTGAGGTCACTGATTATGTCCGGTATCTTTACACATTTTATGATCTGTCTCCTTTAATAAATGAAAACAGATTTATTTGTATTTTACTCCCTAACCTATATATAAAATATATATATATATATGAACAGCATAGACTTTAAGAGCATGGATAGTATAGTTATAATTGTAATGAAGTTGACCATTTTGTAAAAACATTAAACCGTAAATAAGGTGGTGGCTAGACACAAAGTCAGAAGTCCCTTGCGTATGAATCCAGGATTTAAACATTAAATGCTTATTTTATGAAGCTATGAAACCAAGCATGCATGTTTCAGCTTTTCAGTGAATGCAGACATACTACACTCTGTAGGGTTCACCGAGAATGCAGAGTTAATGAACACTGCTTTGCAAGCACCTGATCATTTCATGGATCTTAACCTTCCAAAGACCCCCGACCAAAGAGTTAACATGGGACATCTGCACGTAGTATGATGAGCACCTACTACTGACCCTTTCATTAAGAAACTGTTACACTTTGATACAGTTCCACACAATAGATTAGTGTTCAAACTCAAGGAAATCGGTCTAGATGAAAATGCTTGTTCTTGGGTAGAACATTGGCTTAAAAACAGAGTACAAAGAGTTGTCATTAATGGTGAATTTTCAAGCTGGACAGAGGTGGCAAGTGGTGTCCCTCAGGGGTCTGTTCTGGTACCCCTTCTATTTAACATGTTTATAAATGATCTTGAAGACCGCATTGAAAGTCACGTTTCAGTGTTTGCAGATGACACCAAACTTTGTAAAACAATACAATGTGAGCAAGATATTAC